TTCTCGTAAAGTATAACCAAACTTTTTAGTGTTTGAGCCGCTTAGGCGCCGTGTTTCCTGCCAGGTAAATGACGCTCCGCAACGTGGTGACGTCATTCGGGGCGACTGGAATTGATAAGGGAATCGTTTGCAAAAATGGCAAACAATTCCAAGGAATTGAAACAGTGGGAACCGGTTCTCAACAGGAACCGGTTTTCGATACCCATCCCTACATATATCTATATATAGATATATATCTATGTCACCAGATATAAGAGTGTATTTTGAACCTTCTATGAAATATTTATATTATTTATATTTAAAGTATATTTTCATTTAATTTAAACTGTCTTATGTGTTTAAAAGGGAAGTGTGTGTGCTTGTGTGTGTATGTAAGTGAGAGCGCAAGAGAGAGTTGAATGAAAATTTGCTGCTGCACATTGATTAAAAAAAGTTTGTCGTTTCCTGATCCAATCGAATCCATCGAAGTGAACTCCTTCAAATGATTGTAGTTAGGGGTGGGCGATATATAGACTATATTCGATATATTCGATATATTGCAAGTTTTCCCATGTACGACGGTTAGAGTAGCTTTATCATAACCATCGAGTATAAATTTCCATGGCAATATTGAACTGTCTGCATGTAATTCACTGTGAGGTTTATTTTTCCCCTACATGCTGCAAATGCATCATTAATCAGCCCCTCCCAACCAAAAAATGTTCTACCTGGTACACATGCTCACCGCATGTGTGTTTATATACTACCAGGTAGCGAAAAATATGGCAACAGTGGGAATTTCAGAGGAGCGAGTGGATGAGACTCACTGTCATTTGTATTTCACAAGGAGGACGTCAAACAAAATGCGGTAATTTGAAAAACGTGCTCTAAAACTATTGCCGCAAAAGGTAGCGGTACCCCAAATTTTTCCCACCAGCTGAAAAGTCATTTATTGCAAAATGAACAATGTTTTAAAACTCTGCATGTCAATGTCTCCCTACACACCAAAGAAAATGTTAAATAAACCAGCTGCGATACCTGTGAATGTTCTTGGTCTAGGGTTGACCACAGAAAGAGTCTTACTGTGACAGTACTATCATATGTGAAAAACCTCTGTGATGGTTAAAAAATGGTTAAAATAAAACATTTCAATTCATCCAGATGTTTTTTGTATTCAAAGTTGGAAAAAAATATTGAATGGTTGATTTGAATGAGTATACCAGTGCAATTTCAGGCACTACATGCTTGAAAATAACACTTGTTTTTGGAGGTTATTTAAACATATCGTGATATATATATTGTGTATCGTGATATAGCTTTAAACAAAAAAAAAAAAAAAATCGCAATATTAGATTTTCCTCACATTGCCCAGGCCGAACTGTAGTACAGTTTATTGACTTTTCAGAGCTAGATATAAACACTAGAAGTCGCTAGAAGGGGTAGTTATCAATAAGTGTATTATATGCAGCAGAATTACTTTGCAGTAAACATTTAAACATTTGTTTAATAAAAGGTCAAAAAGGGAGGTGCTGTAATGATGTCCAGGAATTATTCAATTATTTTGTGCAATACCTTACTCTTTAATGAAGTGAAAGTCTCCATCTTCCTAAAATTAGTACTGTCACACTCACCCTAAAAACCAAACAGAGCATGACTGACTCATAATGTTAACAGAACTGTAAAAATTAATAACAAATCAAAGCAAAGATTTAAGATAAGCCATCAATAAACTCAATCATATCCGAATCCTATGCAACACCTGCTCTTATCTGTCATTATACCATCTTGATAAAGAATATGAATCATGTCAGAAGTGTTTCACGTGGTACACAAACTAAAAGTAGAAACTCATAAAATCAGTAGAAACTCACCCAGTGAGGAATTTGTTCAAGTCATAACATTAGTAAATTCTGACAAGGCTCCAGTTTATTGCCCAACTTCACAATGAAGGCAACATGAAAGATCTGCACCTTTTTAAATTCATCATGCTACTCATAAGCAGATAGATTTGCGGTCATCACTGCCACCACTCACCAGTGCACCTGCACACCCACACAAACACACTTTCCAATTGTCAGATTGTTCTTTTTGTAAATGACAACTCAGTGATCCAGTTAGAAGCGAGCATTTGGCTGGGTTACAATATTATGATCTGTAGTAAATTTATAGATAAATTTAAGGCTTTTAGAGAAATTGAAACTTAAAAAGCCTGCTTCATTCAGTTTCAGGAACTTGCTTTTCTAACCTTTGTTGAACTTTTACAGAATGTCTACAGACTACAAAGCTTTAGTCCCTATGTATATTACACTGTATCTCACATGCACTGCAACCATGACCATTGATACACAATGTTGCTAGAGCTGTATTGAAGATATTGCTGAATTCAGATTCTTCACTTTCTATCTGAGACACATGTGGGAAAATCACAAATACACAAAACCTATTTCCCTTTAAATCCTCGAAGTCAATGCAAAGTCTACAAATAATGACCATTTTTTTTTCCAGTCATGTTATTTTGCAAGATGCTGACAGTAATGGTTAAACACGTGATGAGCAGTACCAAGCTAATGCAATCCCAGCAAACCCCCAACAGTTCCCCTTCTGTGTGCAACGACTACTTAAGTGCCAATGGAATGGAATCACACAGTTAGAGCTATCGCTAAATAAATTAAGTAAAATTATGCAAAATGTTTAAGCCAGTGTTTGAAATATTATATTATATATAATTATATATATATATATATAATATATAAAATATTATATTATATTATTAATATATATAATAAATAAATTATTATTAAAACACTTTACAGTAACATTACCAATAAATTAGAAATGTATGGTTATTAAACAAATTAGTTTTTACTATTAAACTAATGGTAGAAAGTTTGGGAACAACTGAAGTAATCTAAACTTATCTGGTTAATAACTGTTGTTTGAAACATGTTTTGGATAGTTATAATGTAAACATGCAACTGATATTTGGAATACTTGTTTTAAAGAATATACTGGCGGGTAGGGTGGCAGTGGTTTAAATCACAAAACTGTGAACCTGGAGACCACAGTTTGTGTCCTGTTTCATTTTCACTTTTGTTTACTTGGGCTTTGTCTTGCTTTTGGTTAGGCGTAGGCACCAAGATAAGTCAGGTTTACAAAAAGATGAGATTTTCTGTTAAATTCAAGTTTGGAGAAGGACCACTCTTAATGTTGCCAACAAGCATCCACCACATGGCTGAAGCTAAAGGAAACCATGGATATATTTGAGACTTGCTTTAAATACACGACCATACTTACCTGGAAATATTTTCTAGAACAGACCATACAATAGGGAGTTAAAATTCAGATTTAAAGGGGACCTATTATGGTAGTTTGCATTGCCATGTTTTTATTTCTGGACTATGTGGACTTTATCTGATTTTTTAAAAAGTGATTATCTTCTTCTAAACTTTGGTGCAGTTTCTTAGTTCCCACTGTATTTGGACAGTTGACTCAAAGGCTGGCGAAACAAGCCATCCTTAAGCTGCGAAAACAGAAAAAACCCATCTGAGAAATTGCTACAATATTAGGAGTGGGCAAATCTACAGTTTGGTAAATCCTGAAAAAGAAAGAAAGCACTAGTGAACTCAGACATCCACAGAAGACAAGAGTATTGGATGATCGCAGAATCATTTTCATGGTGAAGTGCAAACCAAGTGAACAACACTCTCCAGGAGGTAGGCGACATTCAAGTCCACCATAAAAAAATTAAAAAAGACTGCATGAAATTAAATACAGAGGGTTCACAGCAAGGTGCTAGCCACTCATAAGCCTCAAGAATAGAAAGGCTAGATTGGAAAGAAAAAAAAACATCTAAAAAAGCCAGCGCAGTTCTGAAAAAACATTCTTTGGACACATGAAACCAAGATCAACCTCTACTGGAATGATGGCAAGAAAAAAAAGGTATAGAGAACATACCTTACCATATAAGAACAGCTCATGATCCAAAGTATACCACATCATCTGTAAAACATGGCGGAAGCAGCATGATGGCTTGGGCATGCATAGCTGCCAGTGGCACTGGGACACTAGTGTTTACTGATGATGTCTGTGAAGGTTCTCAGTCATCCAGGTCATCGTAATCTAAGGAGCTTGGAAAGAAAAGCGTCTGGACTTGTTGCTTGAAGATGTTTCACCTCTCATCTGAGAAGCTTCTTGAGTTCTAGGGTCAAAATGTGGAGAGTTCCAGATTTAAACCCTACAAGAGTGTCCCCCGAAGAGGGACCTCTACCTTATCACACGAGCCAAGGTGTGAAAATGAGTGTAGGTCACAATCAGCCAAGGTTTCGGGTGAGCTCATTGTGAAACCTAGCCCCACCCTATCATGTGATTTCCTGAGGTCAAATGGCCCAGGATGTGAGTGGGCATTAAGGTGTCTTATTGATGATGTGACACAGTACAGAAGCAGCTGAATTAATTTTTCGGGTGTTCAGAGACGTACTGTCTGCTCAAATCCAGCTAAATGCAGCCAAATTGATTGTGCTTTGTTTTTTTATTCTGTGATGCCGGCCAATGACGCAAAACATACAGCCAAAGCAACCCAGGAGTTTATTAAAACAAAGAAGTGGAATATTTTTGAATGGCCAAGTCAGTCACTTGTTGTAGACTAAACTTTAGACAGAAAGGCCCACAAGCAAACAGCAACTGAAAGAAGCTGCAGTAAAGGCCTGGCAGAGCATTAAAAAGGAAGAAACCCAGCATATGATGATGTCCATGAGTTCGAGACTTCAGGCTATCATTGCCAGCAAAGGGTTTTCAACCAAGTATTTGAAATGAACATTTCAATTTTAGTTTTTCAATTTCTCCAATTGCCCTTGAAATGAAGGGAGTGTGTTAAAAATGCTTTAGTTCCTCTTTTTTTTTTGTTCAAACCACCAAATTAAAGCTGAAAGTTTGCACTTCAACTGCATCTGAGTTGTTTTATTTAAAATTTATAGTGGTAAGTCCTTTAGTTGGTTACGAGAGGTGTAGAAGTGTGTCATGGGAGTTAGGTCCTGGATCAATAGGAAGTGCAACAAGTTGTCCATAGAATCCGCCAAACAAAGGCTCACAGCTCTGGACAGAGGCCATGGGAATAAATGGCATTTTCTCCCAAAACCTATCCAGGGTACACTCTCAGCTGCAAGTACAATAGTATGAGGGCAAATCCATGCAGAGCTTAAAAGGTGTCACACAACACCAGCCTAAGAGCAGACCAAAGCAACCTTTCAGAACAAAAAACAGTCAATAACAAGTCTCCAGAATGAAGACCTGAATAGGACCAGGACCTTACATCCAAACGTACTGGGTAAAGAAGCTAACTGCACTTCACAAAAGCCTGGCAAAAAACAAATAAGTGGGATGCTAACAGCAGGTGTTCATCCAGGTGTTCAGACTGAATAAGACCAGGTAATCAAAGCACCATCTACTGGTTGATAGAGCAAAACATCAAGACTCTAAGAACAGTAGTCCAACCTGAGTATGGCTTGGAATGATGAGAAGAAAGTCTAAAACTCAGTAATCTACACATTGGAAGTACCTCCATGAAGTAAAAAAAAAAGATGATCAGAAGCCAGCTCAATAGAGGGAATAAGATCTAAGATATTATAATACACATGCTTTATTGGTCATCAGCTACCCATCTGGAAGAATAAGCTGGCCACAGAAGGACATGGATGCCACTCATGATCGATGTGCAACTTGCTAAGAAACATTTAACTAAATATTAGTCTGGGTGTATGTATATATTTGAGCATGTATTTTTACTTTTGATCCTGTATGAATTAGACAAAATCTAAAATAACTTCAAACTTGTGCACCCACTTCTTGTTTTTTTAAAGTTACTGAAGATGTATGCTGCATAATGATTCCACCCAATGAAAACCCAAAATTATAATGACATTTATGCCCATGATGAGTGGATGTAAACTCGACGACAACCTTATGCATATATGTATTTATATATAAGAAAAAAGCAAGGTAATATCTGAAAGTGCATGAATCAAAACTAAAAACATTACAGGAATGTTTTTTTAAATGTGTGATCACAGATTAGGCATTCTAAAAGTTAAAACAGCTATGCAAACCTGTGAAGCTGCTGGTGGCAAAAACAAAACAAAACACAAGCAACTTTTTAGAAAGGTGAGAAATGCAGAGATGATCCTCCTTGATGTGCAGCAGAGGAGCATTAGAAACCCTTGCTGTGAGTTCTGAACATAAGAGTTAGTACTAAGATGTGTTAGTGATTGAATCCAATATTAAGAACTTATGTACTATTTTAAAGACTGGATTACTCATTGACAAAATGAGTAATTGGCTTGTGTGTACAAAAGACCATTATGCCATTGTGATATTAAAATATTTGAGGGTTTGTAAACCATTGCATATAACAGAAGATAATCGTGTGTGCTGGTTTAGTTTTCCAGTTGTAAATCTCAGATCTGTCATTTCAAACGAATACTTCTTGTCCTCAACAAGAATTACAAGCAATTTTAAAAAAAGAATATAAATAGGTATGCATCAGTTGAACAGATTAACAGTTGCTAGACTGACCACAGACTGCCTGTGCTGTGTAATGGTGTATGTGTCATATCCTGTGTGCATGTACGTGTGTGGGTCTGTATCACAAATAATAGAGCACAAGAGTTTCTACAGAATGCCAGTATACCACAAAGCTACTGCTAGAAAAAGCACTTTAAAATTTGACTTTAAGCTGAAACACTGAAGTAGTAAAAGGGAATTGGATGCATTCTGTAGGTAGTGTACAGTGTGTGTGCATTCATGTCTTCTCTGTTTCTTTGCATGTTTACCTCTGAGACTTGTGTAGTCTGGTACTCCTGCAGCTGCTGCTGGAAGCCATAGTTTGGCCCAACAAAGGAACGAACAGCTTTGACAGCAGACAGACACTCCTCCCAGCTATAGTGGGTGACAGTCATCAGGTAGGCCACCACCATGGTAGTGCTCCTTGATACACCTGCAAGGCTGCAAGAACACAAAGGACATTTGGCTTATTTGGTTCTTTTCATTACGCAGCTGGATGTTTAATACCTTACTTCCTACGGTTAACTGGTAAAAAAAATGGGACAGGCCACAAACCATCAGGACAAATGTCATGTTGACTGTGAAAGTACCTAAAAAAAGATGGCTGATCTTTTCTGGTTTTGAGTAGGAAGCTGGCTGGATGTAAATACCTACCAGTGAACTAGACAAGATCCACCATTCAAGCGACATTCATGGATGAAGCTAATGCACTCTTTAAAATGCTGCAGTCTGGAAAGATATAAAAAAGCACAGTAAAGTTTTCTGAGTCAATATAGTATTGGTCATCAAACAGAAAACAACAGTTCACTTTTACTAAGGTCATAGTAACATTTAAGGAGTGAAAAGCTAAAAATGGAATACACATTATAGGATATGAAAAAGGCCACCTTGAACTGAAACTGCGTTAAAGGCCCAAACATTGTGGTTCCATACAGGTTGTTAAAACCATATATAATATACTAAGATTAGCTGTAGAAACTACAGATTACTCTCAGATTTAGAGATAAGTTCATAAATATGTGAGGTAGTTTTGACAGATTTATGTTATATCTCAGAAACAGGAGAACATACTGTGGTGTGTTTTTTTCCCCCTTCAGCTACTCCAAGCTGTCATGTGAGAAAGAGGTTGGATATGCTCAAACAGAGAGTCTGTGGTCGACCAGAGCATAGACAGTAGGGACAGACAAGGGAAGTAAATGCCGTCATTTTGTCTTAACTGCAAAATTTGGTCTTTTTCCAGCACTGGGTTACTCAGTGCGAACAGAGGCATCGTTTTAGGTTTACACCAAAAATACAGCAAATGCCATTTCATGGGTAAATTTAGAAAATAAATCACCACTAATTGTAAGATCGCAAAAAATCCACACAAAACATCTTCCAATATAAAGCAGCATAATGCAATGCTATTGCTCCTTAAATATCCTCCTTATACACTGTCAGGAAACACTGCTGGTGTTTTGCATAATCAAGAATTGCATGGCTGATAGCGCTGTCTCCTGAGGAGCAGATGCTGGTTACTCAATAGCAGACAGGGTAACAGACTGGGGCTAAAATAGACTGTCACTTTACTTTTTTCCTCCTTCCTGAGATCCAAACTCTTCTTTAAAAGATGTCTCCTCAGCACTTTGTTCTGTCATCCTAGCACAGAAGTTTCCGGCAGTCTTGTTTAATATGCAGAAAACTAAGTTGTGACAAACATTTACGGTTAAGTAGAACTGAATAGAAAATGACTGTGAGGAGAACACTGGAACAAAAATAGTCCCCTAGCAACAAAAAGCTGTTAGATTACTGTATGTTTAATGTGCAAAATGAGCTTCTGCATTTCTATGGTGATTTTTAAAAATATAATTATATTAATATGCCTAAAACAACAACAACAACAACAACAAAAAATCATTTTTAAAAAAAGAGCTTCCTTAGTTATGACCAAAGCACATCACGTTGATGCAAATGCAAAAGTTTACACCTTCATGCTCTATGCACACTAACAGACTTTCTCAGAGAAGGTTAAAAAAAAAGGGGAACCCCTGGCTCTCTACAAATATCTACATACATTGTTAGCAACTATATAAATAACATTTAATGCCATTTCAATTAAGCACTTGCTGTCTTGGGTGTGAATTCCTCATAGCATTCACTGTCTTCAGTGTGAATTTCACAAAACACTGACATCAGAAAATGCACAGAAGTTTAAATAGGTTTAATCTGCTTGCTAGCTGCTAGATACATTTATTGTTTTATGCTCCTTGTTGTCTGCTGCACGAATAACAATAAAAAAGGGCTGTTTCTGCAGTCTGACCACAGTTTTGCTGTATTAGTATTATTTCTGTGATTTAGGACATAGGTCTAAGATTTGCTGTCACTTTAGTTTTCTTTTGTATAGTATGTGATGATTCCTAGCGCGGAAGTATCTAAACACATCAACCTTAATCCTTTTCTGCTGAACTGAAGCAATCATAGAGATGAAGGTTTTTCAGAAAGCTTTAAACTTTTACAAAATCCATGTGAGACAGTTTCTGCTGTGTACCATCACCATGTAACAGAGGCCATCACATGTAATGACAGGGGCCCCTAGATCATGGCATGCATGGTGGGGCGGCAGTTGGCCTCACCCTCCCATCACTCAGACCAGTGATTGTGACAGAGGGGGTTTATTAAAGCCCTGGGTGGTCGATGCAAACAGCCAGATGTCACACTTAGGTTTCCTTCCTCTGCTGCCTGAGGGAAGGACGCTTGATTGCGACAGTGGAGGTCAGACATCTCCAGCCCAACAATCATCAACTTCCAACCAGCCACTAAACCTCAGTTCTCACTAAGTTACATTTGACTCAGTTCTACTTTTTTACAAACTAAAGCAAATAGAGTTCCCCTTCAAATCAAGGAGAGGTTGATTAACTGTGGAGCTCAAAGTAACGCTGAGATTTTTTGACCCAACAAGGTAAAGTCTTTGACATAATGTACTGGAGATTTATCAAATTCCTACTAATGTCCCACTTGTACATATGCATGAACCCTGACTAACCACGTAGGGCACTAGTGCAGACATAACAACGTAATTCCTCTCCAACGCCAATAAAGACCTTAAAGTAAGCCATCAACCAGGGTCATATGACACTAAAGTTTAATGCTTAAACTCCAACTGAATAATGGCTCTTTACTGTCCCCTCAGTCCATGCTTCAAACTTAAAGCAACAAGGGATGTGTGAGGTCAAAGACTGCTATGACTAATGTGTCGTGTTAGCGGCAGCTCCCAGAGCAGCAACAAGTCAGACTCTGGATGAACAGTGACACATTAAACATACTTACTCATCTGTTATTTTTTCACTTAACCTTTCTCTCACAAGCACGTGAAAAAATAAAAGCCCTCTTTTGCTCAGTCTTTAGGAACAGGATGAAATGAAGTGAATATTAAATAACTTTAATCTATCATTAGATGGCTGTAACTCCTATGTATGACTACTGTTTGAGTTACTGCTCTTCTCCTCTCCTATAAATAGTCTACTGCATACATTTTGAAATTTGCAAAGGAACCAAGACACACTAGAGGGTGAAAAAGAATCCACCAATGTTTTTAAACCTTCATGTACGCGTTTACTCACAGGTTCTGGCTGGAAGCATCAGCTGCATGAATGCAAAGGTATGTCATGTCCTGCAAAACATTGGTGAAAAATGTTAGGAGACAGGCAACTAAATATTGGACAAGTTGTGTAATACTAATAAAAAGACACTCAAGTGAATTAGTGACATGATGTGGTAGCATCTCAAAAACACAGTGTCTTCAAAAGAAATTCAGCGCTCTGTGTAAGACTAAGAATAGTTTCCCAGATTACAATTTTAAGTATTTGAGATTTCATCACATATGGTATATAATATTATTTAAAAAATGACATTATTATAAATTAAGAAGAAATTACTGGATGCAAAAACAAGTTTAAAACCAGTTAAAACCACAGTTGGCATGGAGCCCCAACAAGTTTGTTGTACATGTACAATGACAGCAAAAGGCTATTGCAATCTACTCTATTCTATGAAGAGGAGACGAGAGGGACTTTGTTGTTTATTATCACAGCACGTTTCAAACCCCAATGACCTTTGATGTCATAGGCAACATAGTAATGCTGAACAATATAAATTGTGTATTAACATATGCTGCCAAAGCTTTCTGCATTTAAAATAAGCATGTCTTGAGTAGTACAAGCGTCTCTGTGTTCAACTGACTTTGATATTTTTGTGGCAGATTACAAAAAAATCTGCCATAACAATACAACAAAGGAGGCTCCAAACTGACAGAAGCTAAATTTATACGTAAAAAGAAATTATAGCAATGGGTGTCCTTAGTTTCTAAACGTTTACAGGTTTGTATTAAAATAGGAAGCAGCACGCACGGTAGTAAACACGTCCCTTTTCTGGAAGATATTGCTGGAATCAATTTCAAAATAAGCATACATTTATTTTTAATATTTCTTCTGTTTTATTTGTACAATTTTCAGTTAATATATATATGAGGTATGGGGTTTTATTGAATTTTGTTTTTGTTTAGAAAACATTGTAACCTTTTGTCAGTCTGGTTGTAGATCAATATCTAATGTGTTCCCCTGGTCTTGGTCAGTGTCCAACACTCAAAACAATGCATTTACAATAAGCAGTGTGTGAAACCAGAGACAATGTGAAACTTACAGAGATATACTGCGGTGGTGAATATCTGTGTTCTAAATCATATTTCTCACACTTAACCTTTTTCTTTACCAGAGTAAAAAAAAAAAAACTCACAGTTTTGCACATCATTTTACACATTCTGTCTTTTAATACACATGAACCTCATAATTTATCTGTCAATCTCAGTCTCAAAACTTCAAAGCAATCCAACCATAACTCATCACCACCCCCAGATGGCTGAAAGCACAAATTACATTATTAACATTGCATGCATGACCTTAAAAAAAAAAAACACCAGGTAAGATTTTCCACAGAAAGTAGAAGTTTTTAATCATAATACATCCAGAAATACTAACCATGATTTCCCACTAACCTCAAACACCGGTTTTGCATTGTTGTACACAGACAGGATGTGTGTGATGCCATTCTTAGATAAACTTTCTCTGTTTTCTGAATCTGTGACAAGGAGAGAGGGAAACATATCTCAACAGGTCCTTTGGTATGAATCTTACACAAACAATCATGACTTTGACCAGTTACAAGCAGCTACAGAAGCAGGTCTGTGAGTAGTTTGTTATCCTGCAACATTACTTAGTACAGATGGGCAAGTGGTCACTTGTCCCTGTCATTTTAGCTATATTTAGCCATCATACTCTTACCGTCATCAAGGCAGCTAAAGTTAGAATGTTCCAAATGCCATATTAACTTGAAGAGGTTGCATCGGACTAGAGTGAAACACAAGGCTCTGGATTGTTATTTTAGTTTTTATGCCACACATTGTAGCAGTTTAATTTTCTTGTGGGCGAGACTTTACAATATTACATTATTTTACTCTTTAAGCTACAAATATATGTGCTTAAAAGGGAGGGCTTATGTTAAAAATATGCTTTCACCTTTTCATATAGAAGATTAAGTTATGTTGAGTTAAAATTCCCCTAATTAAACATTATTTGAGAATTAATGATAATATGTAAAGTGTGCTCAGAGCAAAATATTGTACTCTAATGCTACACCGAACACCTGGCCCAACTGGGCTTTCTATACTGTATGTAATTAAAGCAATAAATCTACATACATGTTTGTCTTACCTCTTATATTCCCAAGGTAGAGTCCATCAACAACCTGTGAAGGAGCAGTCACAGACATGTTGCACTTAGATGTTCATTACAATTCAGCTTCAAGAACCTCGCATGAAAAGAACAAATGTTCTGGTTCGAGCCAGATTGGATTTAAAGCTTAAGGCTTAAGATCCTAGTGGAGCTACGAGCAAAGGAAACGTTCCTTATGGCCATACAAGGCTTGAAGCAATGATGCATGGTTATCTGAATGATGTGATGGATGGCAAACGGCCACTGAGTGTTACTGTACAGCTTTGGTACTATACCTATGGAACAATAGCTGTATGAAGGTAATGAAGTGCTGGATTGATTCTGATGAAGTATCTCACTACAGTACCTGATCACTGTTGTGGCAGTTCAAAATAGACGCGAATGACAATTTCATTTTTAGGAAGAAATCAATATAAACAATATTACTTTTTAATAAAAGCAACATGAGTTAGAGTTTTCTTTTTAGGAGGACCCTTTTAACTGTCAATTAACAATGACAGTGCAATATCACAGCATCAAAACATGACATGCAGACACAGACACTTAAGGTTGGCAAACAACAGTATTATAGGTTAGAATCTAGCACAGGAGCCCTGGCTTGGATTCAAATTTTGTTTTTTTTTTGACAGGACAAAGCGTGTCACGTGATTGATTAGCGACCAGTGATTGGCGCCTGCGTTTACCAGCATCGCTTTGGACTTTTAACCATCAAAAACACCCCCAAACAGCGTAATGACATGACATAAACAACAACAGCAAACCTACCTTATTCATTCCGTTGCCCATGGTATCCCTGGAACAGTCTGCGGTTAGCTAAAAGACTTTAATGCGTTGAAGAGCTATATGGACTTTGAATCCAAAATGCGAGGTTAGCCTGTGTGACTGGACTGACTGTTTAAGCGGTTAAATAACCTTCGCTTCAGACGCTACTTTTGCATATTTAACAGTATTATTAGATTAAACTGCTTTAAAACCACTTGTATTTGTGTTAGCTTTGACCTCGTTTCAGCCCCAACAACAGTTCCATCATGCTGTGTCGTCTTCCGGATTGTTTTGACGTGAAGTGGGTGCAGCTGCGGGTTCATCCGGCGTGTGACATCACAGCATGTTGCAGGCGACACAACAACTGTGCTTTCTCAGCTTACACCTTCCGGGGGAAGCTAGAGATAAAGTCACAATCAGACCTAGTATACAGTATAAGATTTAAAAGTAATTTTATGAGGAACACAGAAAACCCATAGTTATCCCTGCAATTTCGCCTCAGCCCCAGCTGGATTTGAACATTTTTCGTAATCTAACCCTGTGTGGTTGTTTAGTCTTTAATGTTAACCCTCTATGGTATGCTGATGCCTTCATTCAGCAAATAACATTTTTGGTGATTATTATTATTTTTGTGACACAAGCCACCTCCGTGTTTAGCTAATTAACGAGTTGTGATCTTTGATCTGGGGGTGGAGCAATCCTTTCCGGGGCCAAGACACAGCTTATAGTGCTAGCTGCTGCTAAGTATAGTTTCATTTTTATGCATGTTTAAATTGAAATAAGTTTTTATGGCAGATTCTGATTTAATTTATTTACTAAAACACCATTTTTGGTCTGTTGCCTCAGAGCAGTATTGTGCAGTTAGGCCACTTTTCTTCAGGTAATAATGGTAAAACATTGGTTTTAAATTCTGGTTCTTGGGGCTACTTGTCCTCCAATAAAAGCACAGGATGTTTTCCGATTTTTTCTGTCAATGTGATGTTTGTAAAGATATGACACACATTTCTCTTACCTCACAAAAGTAATGAATATCCCAGATTTCAACCAACCAAGACATACATCTTGTAAAAATTTTCATGCAAATTCCTCCACAACTTTTTCTGATTCTGATCAACTCCATCACAGCTCAGGCGGTAGAGCAGGCCACTTAGTTATTGGAAGGTTTGTGGTTTGACTCCAGTTTGCAATTCAAATATCCTTGGGCAACTAACCCCAAGCTGCTGTAAACGCGAGTGAATGTTGGAAAGCAGTTACATAGAACAATTGTGCTTGTGCAAATGGGTGAACAGAGTTGTCTAAGGCACTTTGAGTGCTCAGATAGAGTAGAAAAGGGCTATATAAGAACCAGTTCATTACACCCTTCGGTAGAAAAAGAAACAGCCAAATAGTTGCATCTTATTTTCCTCAGAGGTACTGGAGCAATATTCAGCAGTCCATAGACCAAAATGTACTCAAAATTCAGGATTATGGTTACAGAAAATAATGAACAAACATATTAGATATATTTCAACCTTAAGAATAATTTTATATCTAGCTGCCATAGTTTGTACCTGATATGTAAAATCAGTGTTAATGAAGGAGTCATACAGTTAACACAGTTAATCAGAGGTTTTAAACAGTTTAACAATTTTTATTTTTATTATACACAACGACCTTAAGAGGAAGTGGTCTTCCAAAAATCACTGGTAAGGTGAGGTAATGTGGACATCTGATAAATACAGAAATATATGTATTTTTGTATCTTTGAGTTGGTCTGCCTGTATATAGAACTGTTATAGTCCTCTTGGTCTTTTACTTTTTCCACTGCTTGTTTTCGTAGTCCCAGTGGGCTGAGAAACCCTGCACTGGGCCTATTCTCATGTCCAGCATTCTCTGCAGCTCCTTCTCCTTGTACTCTGCCTCAAACGTATGTGGAACAGGTCCATACACTGGAAAGAAACAATAACAAATGAGTCAAGTGATGAGCCAGATTATACCGCAAAAAAATGTGTTCAATACTGCATTCTTTACTTAACCAACATGAAAACCTGAGGCAGCTGAACATCAGATATTACACAGGTTTCCTTGCATATAAGCAATATTTTTCATAATTACCATATTTCCTCTGCCAAAGCACAACCAGCCCAGTGAAGCCAATGAAGAAGAAGATTCCTCCAACCACAGACTTCCACTCTCCTGATCCCTGGTTCATCTCAGCGAAGCTCTGCTTGAAGCTGATGCGGTACACTGTAAAGTGGAAAAACAACTCTAGATTACATTTTTTAAGAATTTGGAAACACAAATACTCTTGGAATTTAACATTACACCACTCCCATTATTTAGCATGAATTTAAACAATTTAGTACTCCCTATCCTACATAATAGGAGTGGTGTAGTTATACATTACATCAGTATAAATGGGTGAACAAAACTATAGCGTTATTGAGTCCTACATGCAATCTTCTCCTCATTAGAGAGTGCAACCCAGGAGCCCTTCTCCTTCTCCTTCAGGGACTTCTGCTCTGCACTCAGGTTCTGCACATAACTGGCGTCGGGGAGAGGGCTGTCACGCCTGTCGAAGTAGGCAGGGAGGGCATAGTCCTCAACCTTAGCAACACCTGCAGGGGAGACCACAGTAACTCATCAAATTACTTTCACACATAATCCCTCACTTCATGTCAATGCTTTTTTTAAAACATAACCTTATTTTAGTTACCGGGCTTATTCCAAGACCAGATTTGTTTTAATTTTGTTTTTACATTTCTGCTCTCAAACCCTGGATCTAGTTCACTGTAGTATTGTTTATCACTGTTTAGATGTACTGCCACTTGAAACTGCAGACAAAAACAAAACCCACACACACAAGATTGTGTGTGTGGGTTTCAGATTGTGAGCAGCGTTTAGTTTCTCATTTGACCTATAATAAAGTGCAACATTGCAGCAGCAACAGCACTCTTGAAAAGCCTGTTTTTTGTTAATAAAGTAAAACCCATTGTAATCTGTACTTAAAAAAATCATTTTATCTCTGTGTAATTTTGGCTGTAAAACTGGTGCATCTTCTTTAATCTATTGCCATAAACTTAAGGTGTCAGTTACCAGAGACAAGTTTTTTTTCTTCACACCAGCCAAGCTCCCATTACATATTAGAAATGTAGTATTACAGGAAGAACATGGATTCATTTTACAACACAAACAGCTTCATTTATTTTAAATGGTCAACTGAGGGTACATTTTAAACGTTTAGGTGTATATGAACAGAGATTTCAAAAGGTCAGTGGCACAAGCGGAGTCTATTGTTATACTACCAGTCATAAATAGAACACATTCAATGCATTTCGTCTTATACCTACCATGTCCTCCACGGACACAGACAGATGTGGAAATGGCACGTTTGCCAATAAGGCTTAGGGCTCTGGTTGCCAGCATTCTGTGGAAAACGTCATATAAGAGAAATTAAGAAACCGTATTAAGCACTAATAAAGGTTAAATGACTTTACAATTGTTTCTGTCTTTTAATTTTTAAAGTAAACCCCGTTTCAATAGGAGATCGTGTACATACATAACAAAGAGTAGGCTGCACAGGGTCCATATTTACATCACAATCTTTTATAAGCTATTTATATACATAAAATCCTGACTTATTTTAAAATAAGTCAGTTAGCATCCATATGGAAAATTTCCCTACATGAAATAATCGTCCAGGTTGATGGGCTTATTGTTAAGATTGCAAAATATTTGGTTTTACTACGACCGTCCGGCTAACCTGATGTTAGCATTAGCAACAAACACAAGGTCATAGCACCAGGGGATAAATATTCGTAGAAATACCAGATTCTCTGATGCGACCATGCAATATTCATCATTCTTCTATTGACTGAAACTACATTAATGCATAATAACGGAAGATGACTGAAACATGTACTATCTTCACATCAAACCCGCCTTCATAAATCTGATGCTACATGCTAATGACAGCTACCCGGAACATTAGTCAGTCCTCGCTCCTATCTGCTCCGACAAAGTCACTACTTATTTCGGTTAAAATAGGCGATTCTTCGCAAGCCGTTACTTTTTCCTATGATGCACATGTCGCGGATGCTAAAATTATGTATATCTACGAAGGATAAGTAATTTATTATTGAGTTTAAAAAAATAAAATAGAACCATACCTCTTCTCTCTTTCTTGCTCCCGTCCGCCGACAGTCTGAAGGGAAGTGTGACTGGGAACGGAAAAACGTAAATTGTGCGTTTGACCGGATGGACTCTGATCTCGTTTTACGACAGTTCTGGTTTACGGCACCACCGGTGCTACAGCAACGAGTGGAAGGTGGAAGTAAGATTAGCTTCTGTGACTGCACGCCGACTAATTTATCCAGCATAAAAGGACTGCTGTCATTTCGGATAATTGTAGAGCTTAATGAACTCATCACAAACTGTACTTCCGACATCATATCGTGGCAGTAAGTTAACTGCTGAGGTGTACATCTACTTTTCTCCGGGCATGTTAAGTAACGATAGCTAACGGTAGCAGGCAGCTGTCCCCCCCTCCTTATCGCCTAACTTAGCCACTCTGGCAGCTTTAGTCTTTACTGAAATTCTGCCGACTTTCTTATAAAAATGCCCATTCAGCTGACAAGTCAGGCGTACTGTAAAATGCTTTTACATGCTGCCAAATATCCACACTGCGCCGTGAATGGATTGCTGGTGGCAGAAAAGAAGAAGGACAAAAAGAAAGACAGCCACAGTGAGCCAGTTCTGTGCGTGGACTGTGTGCCTCTGTTTCACGGCACTCTAGCTCTGGCACCAATGCTGGAAGTAGCCTTAACGCTGGTAAGTATTTGCATATAGAGTTGTGTAAAGAAAAATTGCCCCAATTAAATAGAAAATGTAGGTTTTAATGTGATGATTTCATTTATTGAAGTAAACAAATCATTGAATTCCACTATCCACACCCAGGCCTGATTACTGTAGATCTGTTACAGCAAGAAATCACTTCACGTTTGTCTGTCATGTCTGTCTAAAAACAACTCAAAGTATTACATCTTTCTATGATCTAAAGGCACTCAGAAGGAAAAAAAAGTCACTAGTATATGCTGGCGTGGAAAGGTTGCACAGCAATTCTTATTGTCATTAGAATGATGAGAGCCATTATCAACCACTGGAGAAATCTTGGAACAGTGGTGAACCCTCTCAGGCTTGGCCAGCCTACCAAAATCACTCCAAGAGCACATCAGTGACTCATCCAGGAGGGCCCAAAAGAACCCCAAACAACTAAAGACCTGTAAGTGTCCCTTGCTTCAGATAAGGTCAGAGTTCATGATTCACTGGCTGAAAATGGCATCCACTGGAGAGCTCTAAAACAAAAACCACAAACCTGTTTACAACTGGCATGAAACTACCACAGAATTCCATAAGATGAACATCGTAACAACAATCAAACATGGTGGTAGTGTGATGGTCTGGGGTTGCTTTCGCTGTTTCAGGCCCCGGACAACTGGCTGCACTTGTAATTAGAACCATCAATTCTGCTGTACCAGAAAGTGCACTTGGGTTATACAGCAGGACAATAATGTGAAAAAAAGGAGGAAGTCCAGCTCTTGAGTCATTAAAAAGAAGTAGATTCACATAATGATAGTTTTGAGGTTACCTAGTCAAAATCTGCACTTACATTTTTAAGGGATGCTTTGGCATTCCTCCAGTTATCACTTGACTTAAGGTCTTGCTGCCAAGGGTGGCACAAGTAGTTATTGGGTTTAGGGGACAATAAATTTTTCACAGAGCCAGATAGGTTTGGTTAGCTTCATTTTACCCTGACTAATTGTATTATTGTATTTTGTATTTACTCAGGGCATCTTTGTTTAATATTGTCTTTTGTTTGATGGCAATTTCTGGTTTAGACACTTGCCATCTAGTATGCCTTCTAAAATGATTTTTTCTTTTGTTTTAAATGTTTTATTGTAGCAATCTGTTAGGTTGTGGTGCTTTTGAAGTATCCTGCTTTACTCTAAAATCCATTACTAATGTTGCGTCACTTTTATTTATGGTAGTGAGACTGGAAATAATATCAAATTAATGTCTGCAGCTCTGAAATAGTTAAAGTAAAGTTTCATTCTAGCTCTATATCCATTTTCCTATGTTTAAAATAAAATATACCTGACCTAAACTATGTTTCTGTTCTTATATGTCAACCTGATGGGCCCCTGCTCCAACTCCAGATTGACACTTGGTGTAAAGAAAATAATTATGTCATTGTCGGATATTATCAAGCCAACGAACGCACAAAGGATTCAAGGTAGAAACACTGGCGCCGTGCTGTTCCAGGGAAAAACAACCACTGAGAAACCATGCTGCATCCTGCTTTGGACCTCACTTTAATATATGCTTGATCTTTTGTCCTGCAGGCCCAACCAAGTTGCAGAGAAAGTGGCAGCCAGAATTTCTGAGAACTTCAGTGAAGCAGCAATTGTTATGGTAACTGTAAATTATTAAGGCTGATGCAACTGGGTTACACGTTATGTTTTTTTTTTTTTCTTTCTCCAAAGCAATTGCTACATCCATTGTTATAAATGCATCCTCTTCAGGTAGCAGCTGAGTTTTAGTTTAGTAAAAATGAACCAAAATCCTTAAATACACTTGTCAGCACAAGCCTCTATTTATGTCTCTATACAGTAATATATAATATTGTATAAATAGAGTGACTGATGTGGCTCTACAGGTTGAAAATAAAGCCTCAAAATTCTATCAGATATTTCAGTGAAATTTGCTATAATGACATTTATGATGATGTAGAAAAAAATGCTGAGCCCTTTATAGGTGATTGTGGCTCGCAGACAGCAGGATTTAATCCATGCAAATAAAGTGTAGCACATCTTTCATCCTTCTTTTCCAATGAGTTGCTATCACTGATGACACTGCCCAATTTGAAGTGCGAATCTATTGCCACAAGGTGCCAGCAGCAGCAGCAGCAGCAGCGGCATTGTAAGGCAATAGCAGTGACACAGCAAATGTAAGCACAGTATCCTCGCATTTAATAAATGACAATGTTTCGGTCCTGTTGACCTTCAGCAAGAGTTGGGTTGTAATTTTATAGTTTAAACGTATTAGCTGTAAGTGGGAGAGCGTGCGATGAGTTAGAATTGTTTCTGTGGAATTTTGTCACACATTTGGTTGTTCAAAGATTTTGAATTAGTACTTTGAAACATACTAAAACTTAAATAAAACAAAATACTTTCTACCCAGAGTGCTGCATCTTGAGTCGAGATTTTTTAACCAGCTGCATAAAGCCAGCTGCTTTTCCACCATGTAACCGCATCAGTCATTTTCGATTAGGCGATTAGTCCAACTGGCAAGTGCTGCAGCAAGACTCTGCTGAGTCACCTTTAGCAGGAACAGTTTTCTTCCATATTTTGCAAAGCATTGTTTTGTTGGAGGTCATTGAAGTCGCTGCCTTTTTACTGAATCATTCAGTCTGACATGCAGCTCTCAGTCTCAGACGTGTCTGGGTGAAATGATTAGATGCATTATAAAATATATAACGCTGTTTCTGAAAGACATTGTTCTTAGACCCTGGTCTGGTCTGTTGCAGTTGTTGTTATCATCTAGAAGTTGCACCTAAATTCACAGTAAATTTTGCGTGTTTTCCTGCAGGTGGACAGCAGTAAGTTAACAATGAGCTGTTCCGAACCCATCGTCTTGATCTATGATCACCACGAAAACAAGTGGAAAAGCAGAGAAGTAACGGCGTAAGTGTTAAGAGCTATTTTAGTGTGAGATTTTATCTTCCTCTGCAGACTATTTGTGAAGCTAACTCAGAGCTTCCAGCATACTTACAACTTCAAGTGTTCTCTGATTTACTTGGATTATTTAGACAAAGTACATTACACTGTAATTACATTGTAATTACCCTGTATTTTCAGTATTAATAGCTTGAATATGTAATTTTTCAAAAAAAAATGTTTTCCAGTGACTCCTTTGAGGACTGGAGCGAAGCACAGAAAATCACATCTGCCCTGCTGGTGGGTCGTTCCTATGAGAACTTGATTGATTTTGACAGTCACTTGGATGATCTGAGGAACGACTGGACCAACCCTGTTATTAACAAGTCCGTCCTGGATCTGTGCTAAGACCTTCAGTCGGGAGTACCCATGACACACACATGCACGCATACACACACACATGTGAACAACTATATTGCTGCCAATTCAGCATGCACACTGCTACTTGTGTAGCACAGGAGAATGAAAAAGCTGAACCTATAGTCTGCGTTCCATAAAAAGTCTCTCTCGCTGATGGGAACTTGTGGGGCGCTGGCCAGTTTGGCCAAATGTTTTAAGGGCAAGCACCATATGTGCGCTGTTGGCCCGTGTCTACCTTTTACAGGTTGATGCTGCAGTGATGAAAGCTTTTATGGGTTTTTATTTTTATGCAACTTTGGGTTTTTTTCCCCCTGCAATGGGTTTTGATATCCTGTTTTGTGTAAAAGTTTAGATTCTAGAGGTTTAAACCTATACATTTGCTTTTAGCCATACAGAGATCAAGTTCTAAATAAGTTCTAAATTATTAATTTTTAGGTAATGATTTTACAACTGATAGGATAAATGTGTGTTCTTTATTAAGTTTCTTGTTTATAAAAGACCTGAAGGAAAATTCACATATATAAGTGAAGTCTGAAAGTTTTAGATGACGCTGAACCAGAGATTTGGCCCATTCAAAAGCCCCAACTTTAATCTTTCCGTAGATGCATTTCTAGCGTGCATGCTTCTCGGTACTGCCACTAATGCGACGGAGAATGTCAGTCTGGATGATGCACATGTGCATTTTGGCTCTTGATTTATGATCTGGAAGACCGGCTCTATACTGAATCAGATCACAGGAATATGTGAATTTTGTTTTGTGTGGATATCCATTCTAAGAACTAGATAAATTCTATGTTAACACTTAACTGATTATTCTAAAACCAAATATTAAAAAGTTAATATTTATTGTGAGACTACAGAAACACCTTTTGTAATTGAGATTAGAATTAATCAGTTAATTGTGTGGATGAAACATTTTCTACTGCAATTGTTTTGAGCTGAATGTTCAATGAAACTGATTTTTGAAAACATCTACATGTTTCTATAGGTCTCTTATTGCCTCTTATGTGTTAAACCTATTTAGCTGTGTCTTATACAGTTATTTGCAAACGGACTGTTCAGCCATGCTAAGGTAAAGTGAAGCCTTACTGCTTCTATAGGCTTACAGAGTTGCATTTGAACAGACTACAAGTCTTCTGGAACAAAGTCCACTGGACACAAACACAGAAGACAAACTGAAAACACAAACAGCATATAAGCACAAACACCTCATACCAACAGTTGCGTAATGGAAGAGGGGTGATGATTTAGGACCTGGGCACCTTGGCAGTTACTGAACTGACCATGAAACCCTCTGTATCTGAGGCCATCTGTCTGAGAGCTTGATCAAAACTGGGTCAAGGAACAGGACAATAATCCAGCACAACAGCAAATCTGCAAGAAAACATCTGAAAAAGAAAAGAATCAAGATGCAAGTTGCAGTGGTCCAGTTAAAGTCCAGACCTCAACCTCATTGAAATGCTGTGGCTGGACCTTAGGAGAACTGTGCATTAACAAATATCCACAAACCTCAATGAACTGAAACGGCGTTACAAAAAACAAGGGATCAAAGTTCCTCCACGTTGTGAGCAACTGATAAACTCATACACAAAGCAGGCACTTCAAGTTATTGCTCTTAAGGTGATTCTACAAGCAGAGTCATGTGAAAGCTTTCTTTTTCACATGACTGCATCTCTGCCTTGACAATTTAAAAAAAGCCTAAAATCACTTTTAGAATAATCACTGCCCAGCTTTGGGGGGTTTTGTATGGTTTAGCAGCAGCCTGTTGAATTAAGTTTTTTTAAATAGTTTTGTTCAAGAACAAAATACACAGAGTGCTTTACAGCACAGAATAAGATGCAAATAAAATGGTATATTAAAAAACAAAATAAAAGCAATCCTGCATATATGGGTCTTAAGTTTATTTTTAAAGATAGCAATCAGTTCACAGACTTTAGATCCAGTGGAAGCGATTTCCATAACTTGGGAGCCACAATCACCTTTTGTCTTTAACCTGGACCAAGGTACAGCCAATAAACACTGTCGGCTAACCTCAGAGTTCTAGAGGTCATGAATGGTTGTAGTAGCTGTGGTTTTCCAATAATTTAGTGGTGCAAAGTTCATATTCGCACGTGTCTACAGATTATTTCATGCTTTGTGACCATTCTAAACTATAGCTTCAGTCTCCCATACTCTGCATAATGTAATTCTTGTAAAATGAAAACTAAATGACAGTGTGGTCGTATCTGTGAAGAACTCATGGAAGTTTTTAAACAAATGACACTGTATATTTTCCTAATATCCATAATCATTTTATGCTACTTTCTACTCCAGCACGTTAAGTGAGACAACAGAAATCTGACAGCAACTTACATTATTTTTAAATGTATAAAAAGCTAATAAAGTGGTCCCTACATTGACTAGTTACACCTTACATGCTACTTACACGCTGCCATATCAGCAAAAATAAATAAACAATAGTAATAAACAAAATAAAAAATGGAATTAAAACAGAGATGTTAGAGATGTGAAAGTGGTTTAAATTGTGAATGTAGTATTCTAGTTTCAGTAAAGATAAGTACTTCTTCTATCAGTGCACGATAAATGAACTGAAACTAATTCTGTCTAACTACAGCATGGGTGCATTTCTGCAGAAATGCCTCAAGCACAGTCCACTGATAGGAAATATTTGAAGTGGATTTGAGAGCAGATGTTATTAAAATAAATGGTTTGGATTTATGAAGAAGTTTCATTGCTGTTTTAAATAATAGATTGTGGTGTCTTCTGTCACTTTTGTTTGTTCGTTTTATCTTGGCAAATTTATTTGAGATGTATGGTGTGAATGTTGTGAGACCGTTTGTACAACCCAGGAAGAATCCTTTGGATGGAGTTATTGATCCCGAAAGGGAAATTACTTCAGCAGCAGAAGGAATAAAAAGAAAAACAGTATAACAGACAAGAGAAACATTTTTAAAAACTACTACAGGAAAACACCAAAGGCCGTAAAATGTGAGACCGTGAAAAATTGCATGTAAAACTGTGATTAAAAAAAAAAGAAATATGAATGAAATAGAAAACATAATAAGACTGAGGTTATGTAAAACAGAATTCTGCAGAGTGGTAATGCAAAAATGGTTCTTTATGGCAACAAGGTTGAATAAGTCTGAAGGAGAATGAGCTCTGTAGTGTAGAAAGGAGCAGGTGTGATGGGTTGTCCATGATGTTCAGTGACCTCCTGTCTCTCACTGACCCAAATGCCTCCAGATAGACTGATGATCCTGCCGTGATCGCTGGCCTGGATGCTGGCACAGACCGGCAGAAGTTCTTCAACATCTTGCTGAACACACTGAAGGATCTGGACCTCCTCAGAAAGTAATCAATTGATCCCCTTCTTGTACAGAGCATCGCTGTAGGTTCTTCAGTACAGTCTGTCACTGAACACTGTCACTGAAGTATCTGTTGTTAGCTGTCCGCTGATTCAGCCTCCTCACCCACGGTTCTAATAGGTTCAGACCCAGACCCAGTCACTGACAAAGACATCTAACTTTGTTCTCACATGTAAAAGCTCACTGCCACCTTTCTCGTTATTGCCTGGTGAATGCTGCCATCTGGTGGAGTTTAGTTGCAACTGTTGTCTTTGTCACATGGCCCACTTTCTTCTTCCGGGCCAGACAAAGCTAAATTAAAATTTAAGGTATAGTCAGCTTCGTCACGGCCAGGCCCGCACCTCACACGTAAATTAACAATTTTAAAAATGCAATTAACACCGAGATTCGAGAAATTATACAGAAAAATAAAAATGTGACGTGCCGTAATACGGCACACAATAATGTTCACTTTTGCGATACTGCGCTTCCTGTTGATGACGTAGTTGTCTTTTTCTTGTCTTCATTGTCGGTTAATGCTGCCTTCAGCGCGGGAACGGTTTGTAGTGCAGTTCGAGTGGGACGGAAGTTTTTGAACACACACAAAAACCAAACAGATATGGATGCTTCGGAGGTCGAGTTCCTTGCGGAGAAAGAGATGGTGAAGATAATACCAAATTTCAGCCTAGATAAAGTCTTTTTAATCGGGGTAAGTCAGCTGTGTCTGTATTTAAGTAGCTGGTTTTTGACCAGATACTGAGACGTTGACAGTTACTGTAGCAATATTAGCTAAACCTTGGGCTAAAACCTTGTATTATATCACGATACACTCAGTTTAAAGCAGGAGCTATGTATGTATGTAAAGATGTTTCTGTTTGAGTGGATCACTTCACTCAGTGACTGATTAAAACACGCACAAAAAAGCCTCATCTCTCAAACTCCAGACTTTAACGAACTACCATCCATTAAGATAAATATAAGTCGCTCCAGCTAAAATAAAATCTGTCTAAATATATTTCGAAAAAAATTGAAGCTCCAATAATATTCGGTACCGTATCTTTGGCCTTTCAAAAAGTACCCCGAACTATTATTGCTATATTATACTGCAGTTTTTATTATCGATCAAGTAAATACAAGCTCAGCACTGCAATAAAACACACTTTTCAGCTTTCAATCAA